CGATTCGGCAAATGTAAAAGAAGGGTGGGGGAAGGGTAGATGTGCTGCACCGAACAGAATGATGAGTGGCCGAGAGCGCCGACTCGAGCCACTGGTGTCTCATTCAAGAACTTGCCACTATGGCGAGAGTTCGATCAAGTACGCGGACGAAGCAATCAGCAGTTGCCAGCACGATGGACGTGCGTGCCATCGACTTCAAGCATCTCTGGCGGCAGCTACGTGCAGTGGGATGGACGTCGAAGAGACCTTCCGGTGGACTTGCGAAGGAGTGGACGTACACGTCGCCGGACGGGAAGTCGCTCACTGGTGCGAAGCTCGTATATGGTTATGTGCTTCATTTGTCTAATTTATATCACTTGTCTAGGGGAGGATGCTGTGGTGGCTTATGCAATCGAGACTGGGCTTATTGCTGAAGAGAGTGGCGACAGTGAGAGGGAGGTGGGCAGTGATGAGGTCGTGCCGGTGGACGTTACAGTGACGGCGTCACAGATAGACACATCCATCGCGCTGTCGGCCAACACCTTATCGGCGATGTTTGGCACGGACAGTGACCCCCAGTCGGAAGCGGAGGATACGTTGGAGCAGTCAGATCGAGAGATGGTCATGGCTCGAAACCGCTGCACGTCAATTCTTCGAGACTTCCATGTCGTGAACAACGAAGCCCCACGGATTCGAGACAAATTGTGGAAGTTACGGCCTGTTGTCGACACGTTGCAAACTCGGTTTCGATCTGGCTGGTCACTCGGTAGTAAGTTCTCGTTTGACGAAGGCGTACTACCAGCCACGTCCAAGCGCAACACCACGCGGATGTTTATGCCCGACAAGCCCCATCGATACGGAACCAAGTTGTTTATGGCTTGCGATTCTGTGAGTGCATACTGCCACCGGTAAGTTTGTTTCGTTTAAAAATTATGTCGTAACTTACGGCTTGAATTGTAATACGATATTTTATTACGTCGTAACTTACTACTATAGATTCGAGGTGTACGTCGGAAAGCGTGAGACCGAGGATGGTGATCAGCAAGCAGTCGACGACAAGACGGGGGCTGCTGCAGTTATTCGAAACATGAAAGCCGTTCTGGGAGATCGATCACAAGGGTTTCGATTGGTAGTGATCGATCGATTTTACTCGTCTATCCCACTGGCTATTCAGCTTCTATCGATGGGTATCTACGTGGTGGGAACGATCATGATCAACAGACTGGGGTTCGACAAGCAAGTTATTGAGAAACGTAAAACACGTCCTCGAGCGATTGAGCGTGGTACTTTTGCGTTCTCTCGCTCCACTGCTATACCGACCATGATAGCTTGCCACTGGTGGGACCGAAAGCCGGTCCACTACCTGGCCACGGGTCCGGTCATGGCAGAGGACTCTATTCGTCGTAACGTCAAGATGGTCGGGCCGTCTTGCGTCAAATGCCCAAAGTTAGTTACTGATTACCAACGCTGGATGGGCGGAGTTGATGTACATGATCAACTTCGCCTGCAGTCCTATTCAATCCAAACGGCTTTCCGTTTCAGGAAGTATTACAAGTCACTGTTCATGGGTTTCATGGACATGGCACTCGTCAATGCGTATCTCACACACAAGGAAACATGCCGGATCAAGAGGCTGGTACCAAAAGATCGTGGAGAATGGTATCTTCTACTTCATAAGCAATTGATGCAGCTCAAGCACGACGACTTCATTGAAGCTACTGCTCCTACACCTTCTCCTATGGCTCGCTCTCGCAAGCGCCGCCGACTAGACGGTCACAAACACATCCAGTTCGACGACTGGGTCACCGTTTCAGGCACCCAAAAGCGCCGGCAACGCTCTTGCAAAGTATGCGCTCTTCTACGAGGCGATCGAAAAAAATCCTTTCAAACGACCTATTATTGTGAGGATTGCTCACACGCAGACGCAAAGTGCTTCCTCTGCCCCAAGTCGCGCCATAGCTACGGAGGCGTGCGCAAAACATGCTATCAGATTTGGCACGAAGACTTTGACAGTGGGGCTTCCATCCCAGCATCGCTCGGCAAGCGAGTCGTCTTGCGACGATCAGCCAAGGCTGGTACTCGAAAACCAACTCGGCGTGAGCTGCTCTGTCAACAAGACGGCGAGGCCGACAATGAAGAGGATCAGCCAGCTCAGCAATCGGCAATCGTTTGAATGCGTTTGGACAGCACTTAGTTTATGTAAATGTAGCTCTTTCTCTGTTGTACGAGGATCTCTACGGATGTGTAAATAGGCATCTGCTTCGACAAAAACAATACTTGAACGTCGTAAGTTATTGCTTTTCGTGATACGACGTGCTCATAATGTCGTAACTCATACGACGTAGCTCAGAATATCCTCTGACAGTTTATAGCGGGAATCCAGTGTGGAAAAGACACATCCATACAAATAAATATACTAAAATAAAGTCGTAGCTTACGACGTAAAATAGGCGGTTCCAACACGGATCTTCTGGTAACTGAGGGGTTAAGTAAAGTTTGGTCCGAAAGTATAGATTTACTTAAATAGGAAAGCAAAGCCGAATTCCAGTAAAAACGAGAACTATTTATTTGTTTGTTTGACGTACATTTTCCATCGTATTGACGTAAATCAGGTTCTAACTCCGATATTTAAAATCCTTTTTCGGGCCGCAATTTTAAATAATTCGTTTTCGGGGCCGTTTTTATCGGAGCCATTTTTTGGTGTTTGGTTACTGAACTCACCGTTTTTTGTAAAAGCCTAATTGTTTGGGGAAGGTGCAGATGCTCTTGCCTCCCAGTCTTGTGCTGTGAGCAGGATTCCAAATGAGCGGTGTCGCCCGGCTGATACGAGCTAGCAGTGGATGTGGGGCTGCTTGAGCTTGGCTCAACAAAAAATCCGGTCATTGGAGCTGTACATGGACGCTTAAATAAGGTAAGGACTCGAAATCGGGTAGAGTACATCAAGAACAACTGTTTTGATTTATTGTATCCATTACGAATGTTCCAAGCGCGACCACAACGCAAGCCTACGTGAAAGTCGTAGACTGAAAGCTCGCGAAAAACGTCGCGCTCGGTCATGAGCCGAAGTTAGCGAGTTCAATAAGAAGCATTTTGCATTAACGTCCCTAGGGTACGGATACACTGTTTACCGGAATTAACGTATTTCTTGCAGCATCGTTAAAACGCTTTTGAAGTATAATCGTAAGAACTAAAAATCGTAAATATTTATAGCCCTGCACTAATTTTCCCGCCAGAAGTACTGGTGGCGGGCAGCACCACTGGCGAGCTGGATTGCTTAAATGTTCATTTTCTAAATGGGCGGGACATTACTCAACAAGAATCGCAAGAGGTACAAAGCGGTGCAAGCGGCAAAAACTCAAGAAATCAGCCAGACCCTCGCCGACGAGTACGACGTTACGTTGTGGCGCTGGATTCAAGACGCCAAGCGTGTCGAAGTGGCTGCAAAGAAGAAGCCCAACAAAACCTTTGCCACCGAAGACAAGCGGGGCCCAAAGCCTCGGCTCTTGGCAATGGAAAGAAGGTACAGCTTTGAGGAATTAACTATTACGCTTTATCGCTAACATAGTTCTTTTTCTTACTTATGTACCACATATTGCTTAATTGGGTAATTGAAATGCGCTCAAACAAATCTCGCTGTAAAATAAAAAATGAGCTTTATTGCTGGTGGAATTGATGAAACATTAAAAAACTCTTTTTTCTACGTTTATTTTTACAGGTGTGACGACCAAATGTCTTCTTAGCATGGCAGCCCGATTTGAACCCGAGTTTTTCTCTGGTCGCTCTGAGATGGCGGTAATCATGCCGCATCACTTACCGGGGCATTAAAAAACGGATTGAAATGGAGGTAACTTGTGTTAGCATTGTAAGAGCTCTCAAATTTTGTTTATCATTCTACTGATTAATTATTTATAAATGTTTCTAGAAAATTGCTGAAGAGTTTTTTAAAACTGTTCAATACAGTTTATAAGAGTCTAGTGTGGTGTCCCACATTGTTGGCTCGGCTAAGTTCGCCTCTGTCTTCAACATGGATCAAACGGCAGTCTACATCGACATGAACCCCAACACGATGATCGACTTCGTGGGTGCCAAACACGTCGACGTCGTCCACGGTAAAAAAAGTTTTCCTTTTACCTTCCCTAATATTTTATTATGTTTAGGGATGACGGAAAATGCTTTTAGAGCTTCTGTTTTTCTTTGTGCGTCCATCACCAGGGACAAGCTCCCACCGAATATTATCTTCGCTGGAGTTGTCGGTGCTACTGTCGAGGAGGAAGTGCAGCGAAATCCGTTGCATCGCTACCAAGCTATTCTGACCGTTATGAAAAAAAGCTTATTGTGACGAACCACGCATGCTCTATTGGATTGAGGAGGTGAGTTACAGTTTCATTTTTACTGTTGCTGAAGTTCTAATTTGAATGTTCTTCTTTTATAAATCTAGATCCTGAAGCCCACCGTATCTGGTGCTCGATTTCTACTTTTAGACAGCCTATAAACACACAAGATGGACTCTGTAAGACTGAAGATAGAATGTGAATGCAGTACTGAGGTCGAGTTTATCCCGCCTGGAATTACGGGCGTGGCGCAACCTATGGACGCTTCTGTCATGCGAGTGTTTAAGAAGCGATGCCGTGAGCTCTACGTACCCATCACATCGACAACGGCTTCTCTCCAGACCCAGCCGCCCGCCGCGATCTCATCACCCGCATCGTTGTCCAAGCTTGGGATGAAGTTCCTGCTAAGACCATTCAGAGGGGTTTTATTCGTGCAGGAATTGTTCCGTTTGGACCACGGGGGAGTAATGGTCGTTTTGGAGTAGCTAAACCAGCTCAATAAACTTTTTTTTTGCGGTTTGAATGTCTTTTATTTCACTTAATACTACTGTAAACGTTTTTGCAACTACATATATGGAAGTTGGTTGGAAGAAGGGGTGAAAATATGATGAAATCGTCGTCTTCTGAGTCGTTGCATGAAATATAGTTGTTAGAAATACGTAAATTCCGGTACCGGTACTTGGACAACAAGGTTTAATTCGGCTTTTACAAGACACGGCGAGTTTAGTAATCATACGCCAAAACACGGCTCGAATGAAAATTTATTTTTGCCCTGAAAAAGGGATTTGATCGAATGCTGAGGAGAGTACCCTCACTCCTGCTCGGCTGAACTTGCGTAAAGAGCCCGCTTGCGGAGCTCTGCTTCGCTTGTTACAATAATTCAGAGGTTTGAAGTGTGCATGTTGACTTGCATGACATCTACACAGTGGTCTAGAACACCTGGTTCTGCAAAGAGGGTTAACTTCAGCTACCATATCAGTCGTCTACTTTTGGAGTTCTTCTGAACTGCTTCGCGAAGCTATTCATGCGAATGGGATAGCAGGTTGGTCTGCAAGGACTCTTCGAACGAGTGCCGAAACCGCGCGTACGCAGTCGGCAACACGCTGACATCGCGCTTGAGGAAGCTGTCTTGGATCCAGAACTGCACAACATTCAGAAAACTCGGGCACACAATCATCACGAGCACCAATTCTGCGAACGGATATCCTCGCAGCGAGTGGAAGAGCAATTCGCCTAAGAAACCGAGGGGCGTTGCAGCTGCGATCATGACGGACACGACGATGGCCTTGGAGATGACGATGATCACCAGCCACGCGATCAGCTGCATCGCCCACACACGGTACGACGGCGGATTTCCATATTCACCGCTCTCCTGGATATTGACCCAGTTCATAGAGAAGGCAAGCTCTTGCTGTAGCCGCAGGAACGCGAGGCTCACGATCATGCCAAGTGTACAGTCGCTGAGAAAATTGAGGAAGTACCAAGCGCACTCATCCGTCACAGGCGGCATCTGAATCGACACGAAGAGATTCATGAAGTGGCCCGTGGAAGCGCCGATCATCTGCTTGCCGACATCCAGCATCCAAATCTGTAGTGGCCGCCGAGGACGCTCGACGTGGCGCTTGTACCAGAGTGTGGCGATAGCAATGAGGCCTAGCAGCGCCTGGATGGCGTACGAGGCTGCATTCGAGAACAGCACGCAATGCTCCACCTCGTCGTGTGCGAGCTCCGGCAACGACATTACTATGTGCGGCTTGCTTGTCGCTGATTACGCTTGTGTTGCTGTGCTCCCATGGTCTTACGATCTTTTTGTTGCCTCGAAGGGTCGTTTGCTGCTGAGCGGCCTTTGGGTGCGGCTTTACAAGATCGGCACGCACTTGCATTATTAATACTGCTGTGCCGCGAGTGGACTCGAGTATTGTTTACTTCCGGTACTATTATTATTATTCCCTGGCTCAGGTAGATTTGCGGCCTTTTTCGATAGTTCTATGCTGAATCTGGTTCAGAATCTGGAGCGAACGCCGCGACGCGCCTGCACCTGCTCCTGCGGATGGCGGCGTCTTCCTCTTCTTCTTGATAAGCATGGGGTGTGCGGTCGGCGTCAGTGCTTGCTGGGCGGCTGTTCGCTGAACGCCTACGGAGCGAGTCTTGAGCCAATTCACAGGTTTGTTCGGACCAGGAACGCTCGCTTCAGTGAAACTCTTCGAAGCGAACAACCGCGACTTCGGCCCGGAAGGACGGTTGGACGGGGTATCACGCTTGTGCGCTCTCGAGGCACTGGACACCGGCGTCTTGTGACGAGATCCTTCGGCCACGGGGGACATGAAGGTCGCGTCCGTGTTGCCCGTTGGTTTAAGTGGAAAGAGTCCATTCTCGGTGGTCTCGAAGTAATCCAGCTCGTCTAGATGCTCGTAGATCTCACGGAATGTAGGACGCACGCCCCATGCCGTACAGCGCATGAAGAGATTGTAGTACGGACCTAGCCGAGCCTTCGCAGCATCGGGCACTTGAGTCACAGTCACGTCCTGCAACAGCTTGTGCAAGCTGCGCGTCTCCACGTACTCTTTCGGTACAATCTCTCCGACAAGTAGGCGGTACAGGATCTCTCGTCCGAAGGCACCGACGTCGCAGTTCTTGTGGAAACTGAACGAGCTGTCCAGGATCTTTGGCTCATCTGCCGGGAGCTTGATGCGACCGAAGTCAGAAAGTTTGATGTCAGGCTCCCAGCTTTGCTCGTAGCCCTCTGGTGGCGTACGCATCAGAATGTTCCGACAAGCCAGGTCGCCGTGAGCGACGTTAATATCTTCGTGAAGCGTGATCATAGGCAAGCAGATCTGCTTCAACATTGCCTTCGTGTCGCCAAAAGACAGAGTGTAGCGCCGGTGTTTCGATCCACCCGAGTTCACCCCATATCGTCTTAAATAGTCGCTTAGCTTGCAATCCATCACCTCCAGTGCAATGCACGTGTGTTCAATAGCATCGCACAGGCCAAGACATTGCAGGAACCCCTTCATATGACGCACGCGGCGTAAGTAATGCAACTCGAGGGCGGCGCGATGCTTCGCTTCGTGCTCGGGAAATCCTTCGTGTGGCTTCGCACGCTTGAGAGCCACCTTTTGGCCGTTGATCACAGCCGCAGTCACTTTGCCGTCCGTACCTTCGCCGTACACGCCTCCAGTGTACTCGACATCCGTGTCGCAATTAAACAGACCAACGTCTCCAATCACTGAAGTACTCGTAAACGCACTTGATGTGGCGTCCGTCTGAGGTGCATTAGGAACGCTATCTGCTTCAGGTCGCGATACAGTGCTGTTGCAACTTTCTTGAGACAACGGAGCGAGCCTGTCGACGTGGCTGTGAGCAACACTCGCCGATTCCTGAGAGAGACGCAACTCATTCTGCGATTGAATGACTGATCCGTTATCGTCTGCACTGTGATCAGCGCCGTCTTTATCTTCCACAATGGAATCGTCCTCGACCACAACACTGCATGCAGAGATAGCCTCAGTATCCACATCCACGACTTCTGCCGACACTTCCTGGTCTCCTTGGGTCGGATCGTACACTAATTCCTCCGTCTGGCTCAGTGGAAGGGAGCACGACGCGGCGGTATATGGGCTTTGAAGAATCGGCTTTCGAGGAGGCGGACTGGTGAAGGCCACAGCAGTGTTAGTAAACGGCATTGCTCGTCGAGCTTGAGGACTCGTGAACGTCATGGGCCGACGCGCTTGCGGACTCGTAAAGTTAATCGGCCGTCGCGACTGCGTTGCGACTGCAGGAGAAGACATCCGGGACGGAGCTGGCGTCTTCACAGGTGTAGGCGCTTCAAGTCGTTGCTGCAATTTCTCGTTCGTCTTCAGATTCTTCTCCAGTTTCTTCAATGCCAGCGCTCTATTCTCCGGACGCGGCGCACGCTCTGGAGAGAACGAGATCATTCGTTTCCTGGTCGACGCCGAAGAGCTGCTTTGCGCGATGCCCCTTGCCACATTCTTCTTAGGTTTGCTAGCAATAATCACTGGCGGAGCGCTCTTCTCCGGTGTCGGGTCAATACCTGATGCGTTGTGCTTTGTCTGTAGAGCTGTCTCCCACGGCGAGTGCACAGATGTTCGATCGGGAGACATTGGTTCCGGCAACAAATGCTTCTCTTCAGCCTCGATAACAGTGGAGCCCACTGCGTCATCGTGTTCTTCTTCGTCTATAGTCTCCTCCTGCTCTGATTTCTCCTCAGGATCAGGTTGAACACTGCTCTCTTCTGGCTCAACTAAAAACTCCATCTGCTGTTTCTCCTCCTGAGCTTCTTGAACCACTGCCGACTCATTTTCACCCATATCGTCGTCATCGTCCTCATCCACAAACACCTCGATTGATATCTCAGCAGGCTCAGGTACAGCAGTGTTCTCGGCCGGCTCGACGGGAGAATCCATTTCTTCTGATGCCTGCTTCTCCTCCTGTGATTCTCGAGTAATCGTTGCCTCCACTTTAGGCACGTTGCCATCGTCATTCTCTTCTTCCACACTTCCCTGCCCCTGTTTGTCACTTGGAGACGTCTCCAGTTTCTCCATTTCCCCAATATCATGTTGCTGTTTATTCTCCGGCGTCTTCTCCGCTTCAATCGCCGCCTGAGCTGCCATCACCGCGTGCATATACTCGCGGTTTTTCCGGCGCAGGTATCGGTCGTTGGTCCACGCATTGTTGCTGGCCTGCGGTTTTGGATTTGCCGCAACCTCATTTTTCTGAAGGCGCCCACGCTTGTGGCGTTCGTGGATCTCCCCCACCAGCTGAGCCGCGGAGCGAGATCGGCGGCGGGAAATCTGCTTGGGTGGCATCGCAATGGTTGACAGCGGGAAAATAGCGCGCACCTATTTCACCTAATTTCGAGGGTATTTTGCAAAAGTCGTCTTCATATTTTCCAATTTTTGGCAAGCTTTTTTTGCCAACCATCATTGGCGCAAGTGGGCGAATATGGCGACCACTACCGGCACTGAGGTGGCGTTGTCCTTCAACACCGACATGTACAAGAAGCTTTTCCCGGCAGAATACATGCGCAAATGCTTGGCGAACAAGGTGCGACCAGACACGCGCACCATCGAAGCCACACGCGCCGTGCAGTTGCAGACAGACGTGATCCAAACTGCAGCCAGCTCAAGCCTCGTCAAGCTCGGCAAGACGTCGGTGCTAACGGCAATCAAGCTGGCAGTAGGCACGCCGGCGGTTGCTACACCCGACCAAGGAGAACTCGGTACAATACGAAAAGGATATGGTGGTGATGCTGTTGACTAACGACTGTTGCGTTTGCTACAGCCATCCAAGTCCACTTGTCACCGCTGTGCTCAAACCGGTTCACGGTCGGCCGGCCATCAGAGGAGGCGCAAAGCATCGGTAGCCAACTCACAAGAGTAATCGCTGGGTACGCCGCTCTGCAAGTGTTGACCCTGACCGACGTGTAGACTAACGGTATCATTTGCTTTTTATTTGGGTAGCTCGCGTGTGGTGGAGATGGAGAGCTTAAGCATTGTCAAGGGCCAGTCAGCATGGAAGCTTATGGTGGACGTGTACGGTGTGGATCATGATGGCAACGTGCTGGACGCCGCGCTTACGTCGATCATTGCGGCGCTGAAAACGTTGAAGCTGCCGGCTACATCCGTCAATGAAGTGGACAATGTGGTCTCGATCGTGCCAGGTGAATCGCTTGCTGTCGAAGTCTTCATGTATCCCACTCAGCTAACTCGTGCATACATGCTAAATATTTACAGACGGTGATGCCACACCACTGCGTGTGGAGCACGGTGCGTACGCGACTTCGTTCGCGATGGTGGACGATGTTGTGCTGATCGACCCGACCAGCGCCGAGGAGGGCCTGTCTAGCGCCGTTTTCAGTCTCTCGTACAGTACCGACGGCCAGCTCTGTGGTGTGCACAAGGCCGGTGGCTCGATCGTGGCGCCTAGTGTGATGCAGCAATGTATGACGATCGCCAAACGGAACACCAAGGAGCTGGCCAAGCTTGTGGACGCTTCAACTTAGTAAAACACTAACACCCTATCGAATAGCATTACGTACCGATAAACCAGCAGCATTTACCTATGCGACAACATTAGAGCGATGTCCAAGTAAAAACCAACTTGTTTTTTTGTCACCCTAGTATTTGCCAGCCAAAATAATGAAGTGAAAAGAAACAGTCTGGATGTCCAAGTACCAGTCAGCTGTGTTTAGGTTGAACCTCATAAACAGCATATCAATTGATGCCCTTTATGAGTTTGTTTCCTTTCACTTCACATGGTTTCCTTTCACTTCGCAATATGAGACCCGCAACAAGGAAAACAACTCCAGCCGTAGCAGCTTCTGCAGCTAGCGATGCAACGCCGCCTCGTCTTGCCTCGATCATCGACGAAGACGGTCAAGTACTCACCGTCGCTGGCTCACCCTCAAACTCTCCATTTGCTACTACTGCTCCAATTGCTTCAGTGTACTACGCAGATTCACGCACAAGAAGTAGCGAGCTGCTGGTATCTTCTGGACCACCGAAAAAGAAGGCGCGTTGTCATGAACTCGCGCTTGGACGCACCACCAACTTGGAGTCTGCTGTAGCCATTGCGTCAAGTGTTCAGACCGGGAAGACTGCAACGTTTGCAGCTAGTGAGGCTAAGACAAAGTCAGCAAAGGCAGCCAGCACATTGACAACAAAGCTACAGACGAAGAAGCGTCAAAAGGTCCAACGTGCGACGACTCGCACTGTTCTAGAGCCAGGAGAAGCTAAAAGCATGCGCTGGACGATTACATTGACCTCCTTAGCTCTTGAAACCCGCTTCAAGAACCCTATCGTTCTCAAGAAATTTGCCAAAAAGACCGTTGACACTAAGAAGATGCGCGCTATATGGGAGGATACAGTCAACATATTTCTTCAACGTGCATTGATCGAGCAGGCATGGGGAAAAGATTCAGCCCGTACCGTGACTGTCAACCAGTTCAAGAACAAACTGAACGCCATCCAAAAGGCGTACAAGGCAAAACGCACTCGCATGCTTGGAACCGGCAATGAAACTGAAGCTGCTGCTACAAGTGATGACGAAAATGGGCAACGACAATATCCTGAACTGCCGACCGATTTTCTGGCCGACGCAACGGAACTTTCGCCAGACGACGGCGACGACGGTGCTCCATCCTACAAGAAACTAGTTTGCGATCCTATGAACGTCAACGGCAAGTATCGCCGCGAGCTTGGCAATGAACTTTGCGCTCTGTGGCCACTGTTGCGCGATGTTTTTTCTTGTAGCCCTGGGCTAACTGGCGAGGCAATCACAGAGTCCGGTAAAAATACAAGTGGGCGAGCAGTGGCGAAGAAGACGGCGACGCACGCAGTAATCACGATAGCCAGTCTGATGAAGAGTGTTCTGACGCATTATGTGAAGCCCGAGCGAAAGCCAAAACCACCGCAAAAGCAAATCAACGACAGAAGCAACAAAAGCAACGAGGCAAACAAGAGCAGAAACGCCCTGTTGATGTCCTCAATGAAACGCTGCGTGATGGTTTTAGTGCTGTGGAGCGCATACTCACTGCTCGCCAAACTGGTCGAGCGAAAGATGGCGTGACCGTACTCGTGGATAAGCTAGTCGCCTCAATTGAGTCGTCGAACGTCCAGCAGCAAGCCACAACTGAAGCCATTCGCCAAAGTATTGACGAACTAAGCAAAACAACCGCGGATCAATTTAAGGAGTTGATGAAGCAGATCAAAAAGAACGCTCAAGACTGAAGCACGATGTTTGCAGCAATAAGTGGTCGACGAGCGATTGTTTTACTCATTGCTACTGTCATAGTGGTAGAAGAAGCTAGCGTACGAATCACGTTTGCTTGTCGCTAATTCAATCTCATCTTGCGTTCTATCCCAGTGATGGTTGTATGCATTCATCACCTCTCTCGCATGCTTACGTCATTGATCGTTTCGCACCGCTTCAAATTCCTCCTTGTCACCAATATCAATCAGCAAGTTATGCAACACAGCGGCCGCACAAATCATGCGAGCATTGGCTGAGTGGGAGCGACGATCAGTAACCCCATGTAAATCTTTAAAGCGAGCTTTGATCTTGCCAAGCACGCATTCAACTAATATACGAGTTGATGATAAATGATAGTTGTAGCTGGAAAACATCAAGCATCACAACAATTGTTAGAATTACACATTACTCGCCTTGTAAAACGCTTATCACCACCGTTGCTTTCGTGTCAAGCGCCTACCACGCCGTTCATCATAAGGAACCATCAAAAATGGCCAAATCTTAAACCCAGCATCAACCAGTCAGTTGATTCCCGGCGGACACAAATGACGGGCACGAGCACCAAGGATCTCGGATTGATTCCACATGGATTGATCGGAGTTATTGCCACTGAAAACCCTAATATATCGAAACTTGTTGCGATGATCAATGGCAGCTAGACAATTGTAGGAGGGTTTCCAATTTTGTCGTAGAAACCCTGTAGGTAGGGAATTTTTTAACAGTATTAATCATTGCAGCAAAAGAGAGGAGATCAGCCTACCAAATGCTCGTTGGGCCTTCGGGTACGTACGAGAGTACCGTCAAAAATGCACGCAACATCAGGAAAACCACCTCCCCTCTTGGCAAACCCCTCTACCATTGCATCCCATTCATCGGTAGCCGTGGGTGCAGAAATATATACGACGTCATCCAGCATATCTGGTGACTTTCAATGTTCTGGATATAGCGAAGAGCTGGTGTTCTTGACATGCCGAGCTGAGTAGCAGCGCCGCCGATCCCATCACCATCTTGCCCGCATCCGTTTCCGTAATAAGTCAGCAGTGCTGCAAGCCCGTACCCAAAGTTGTACTGCGTGTTTTTGCCAGGAAACCCATATTTGCGATAATAAAGTGGCTCCAATAGACGCTCAAGAGCGTCGAAAGATCGTGCAGAGCACCTAACAGCTCTGCGGTACGCTGTCAAAGATTGTTTTTCCCTCAGGCGGGGAAAGAAGTCGGTACGAATGACAATTTCTTCTCCGCGAGGCCGTCGAGCCGAATTACCATCCAATTGGCTTAATAAACCGTTGTCACGATGAAGAAGAGAAGGAGCACCAAGATCTCCTCGTCCGAAATTCCGTCCGCCAGCGTGGATGTTCTGTTTACGTTGCCAATACCCTCGTCCATTAGATCAATCTGCATCTCTTCATCTTCGCTTTCTACGGCACCAGCAGTGTAATGGGGTACGTAGCCCTAAGTGTACCCTGGTTACATGAAGTGTGACACTTCACACTTCAGGTGTATGACACGTCATACTCCGGGATATTTGGTACAAGGTACCAAGGTCGTTCAAAGCCAACCATTGGTCAAAAGACATTGCATTTCTATAGGTAACTTATAGTTTGTATTAAACCCAAACTTAACCTACCCATAAATATACTGTTTTACAATCTACCTTATTTAGGTCACTTCGCTCTCTTTAAATAAAGAGGGGACCTGTGAACTGCCGTTCACTGAGAGTTTGTAAACTCTCGGAAGATAACTTCCTCTAGCGCAAGGTGCTGTGTGACCCCGTCACACTTGGTAGCACTAGTAGTCAATCCACGCCACCGCGGGTAGACTACCTGAACCTCTCCGAAGTTCGTTGCCATGGATAGGAACGACTTTTCCCGTTTGAACGACTCTCAGTTCGAGTCGGTTCGGAAGATGGCAGGCATCTTCGGGATGGAGGCCCTGCAGAGTCTGGTTGTATCAACACCGGCTGAGCAGCTCGAGCGCGTCAATGCATTTGACGCGTACGAGCAAGGCCTCATCGCACATGTGCGGGAGAACCTGCAGGCTCCGGCGGCGGAAGCAAATCCGCCTCACCCAAAGCCAATACGGCTGAAGGTTAAGCCGTATGAGGGAAGGAAGGCGAAAACCTTCACTTCTGGGTCCGAGAAGTAGAGCTCGCGATGGACGCGGCTCTGATCTCGACCGAGCAACTGCGTGTTGCTTTTGCACTCTCCAACCTTAGCGGTCGTGCTAAGAGTTGGGTGTACACTCGGGAAGCAACATCCCCTGGATGTTTCACATCCTGGGCTCAGCTGTGCGAGCAGCTCCGAGCCGCGTTCCTCCCGGCGAACTACGAGTACCGCCAGCGTTCGCGCTTCCTCGCGTGTAAACAAGGAAGGCGCGAACTGCACGAGTATGTGCAAGAAATACGGGAGCTCACGGCGTCCCTAGTAAGAAACCCACTCAATGAACACATCAAGATGACTGTGTTCATGGACGGCCTTCGAGTGGGCCCCGCACGCACTCAGCTGTTCTGGGTGCAGGCAAGCACGCTTGAAGTGGCGATTCAAATGGCTCTTCAAGAAGAGTACAGCCATCGCCAGGCGCGTACGCCGGCCTCAGCGTGGCCTGGGAGTTCCTTGTCGGCTCCCGGCCGAACAAGCCCCAACGGACCAGTTCCCATGGATCTCGGGTCCGCCGAACAGCGTGACATCCGCTGCTTCGGTTGCGGGAAGATGGACCACTTAAAGCGCGACTGTCCTGCGGAAAGACTCCGCAGACGGTCCTTCCCCAAGCTCGTCCTCAAGGGTCGCTGGCAGAAGCCAGGATCCTGGGGACAGGGAAACGCTGGAAACCAGTAGGGGCGGGGCGCCCTACTGGGGAAGAACTAAGTCTTCGTGATGGGTGCGTGGGTGGCGCGTACCACGGGGACTTAGCCCCTGAGAGTCTTCGCACTCTCGAATCGGCGAAGAGCAGCGGCGGGTTGCTCGTAGTACACGGATGTGTACGGGGATACGATCATCCCTTTAGAATCTTGATCGATTCTGGGGCGTCGAAGAATTTCGCACGCCGCCAGACGGTTGCTCGCAACAGCAACAAGTTGTCCGATGCTTTGAGAGAAAGCAAGGGCAACGGGACGGTGTCAGTGCGACTGGCCGACGGGAAGGTCGTCACTGTCCCCAACGTCCAAGTGGATCTGGCCGTCAAGTTTGAAGACTTTGACAGCCTCGAACAGTTCATTGTTCTCGATATGGATCCATATGATATGATCCTGGGCATGCCCTGGCTTGAGAAGCACGAGCCCTGGATCGACTGGCGAGGCAAGGCAATCGGTGCCAGCCG